CCACAGCCCCGGGCTCGCCATGCTCCTGGCCTCGGCCGTGGTGGTGTGGGAATGGCTGAACGAGCACGGCCGCTGGCGTCCCTACAGCCCGGCCGTGAGCCACCACATCGAAGCGGTGGTGCGCGCGGGTCCCCGCGCCGGGGGCAGCGTGGTACTGGGCCAGGTGGACAGCCGGCTCGCGCCCTACATCATCGACCTGCAGTCCATGAACCAGTTCCGTCAAGACACGGGTGAGCAGCCCACATCCCTTGTGTCTCCCGGGTGCTACCGCCCTCGTGGTTGTGGGTTGTGGGCAGTTTGTCTTACTGGGGTCAGCGATCGGTGTTGAGGGCAGGTGCCTCCTTCCTTAGGTCCCCTCAGGGTCCCATGATCACCTCCAAATAAATGTCCTTCCTAGTATTTGAAAGTGTCTTGATTATGCAAACCCAGCTACAGTCTAGCAGCAGGAGACCCCTTAAAACCCCCTTTCAGTCCCTAGTGACTCTTTGTGCAGGAACTCTAGGGTTTTGCAGCCCCCAAGCGATGCTTAGCAAGCAAGACATTGCTGGTGCCCCTTGTCTGCTCACACCTTGGCTGATCCTGCTTTGTCCCAAGCACACTTGGGGCTACCACATGTCCCCCTTTTAATCTTTCTGTCTCTGGCTCTCTTCAATGGATCCAGCTTTCCCAATGTCTCCTCCTGGGTGTGAGACTTGGGGAGGCAGAGGGATCCCCTGGCTCTAATTGCAGTCTAGTGTGTGAAAGTGCTGTAACGTTACTGGGTAGAGAGAGAATGGAGCCAGGGCTTCCACATCATCCTGGCTGTGGTGGCATCCACAGATGCCTCTGCTTGTAGACTCCAATCACTGAAGCAACAGGCCAGAGCAGATGGAGAGAGGAGGGGGGAGGACTGGGCTCTGGAATGCCTGGCAGGGAAGCTGCTCCCTTTGTCCATGGAGGAGGGAGGGAGTAGGTGGAAGGCTAAAAAGAAGCTGTCCCCAGGTTTTTTCTTAAAACAGCACACAAGGGCCACTCTGGCCTCCCAAAGCACTGAACTCTTGTCTTTACATAAAAACCAAGTGCCAGCAAGACCACCACAGCTCTCCCAGCTGTGCAGCCTTTAGCCAGGAATGGAACTACAGAGGTTAGAGTTGGGGGCCATTGGAGGGAGAAGGAAATCACAGTTGCTGTCTTCTCTGGATCCGATGTGGTCAAGCTTAACTGATGACCTGGGATAAGTTTCTGTCCCCAGAGAGTAATCTTTTTAATTGGGGGTCATTTCTGGAATTCTGGCTGGCCTTTCCCAAGGGTGTAACTGCAGAGCCTGGAGAAGCAGGTGTGGTGGGGTGGGACAAGAGGATATGAGGAGGAGGGCCCTGTAGCTCAGGGACAGCTGCTGGACAGGTCCTCTGAACTTCCTAGGAAAACCCTCGCATCCTGTGTGCTAATTGGAATTGTCATGGGAAAGAAGTATAGTTCCTCCCTCTTGTAATCTGTAGCCATAACTCCGAACAGCCTCTTTGCCAAGAACTCTGTGACCCTGGCCAATGAAGGAAAACTTTCTGGGGAAGAAAAAAATTCCAGAAGTTTTAGCATCTGGCGGGCTTGAGCCTTGATGGAGAAAGCGGGGAGGAGGAGCTGAGAGCAAGAGAGAGTAAAGAGGAATGCAGGAAGATGGGGAAAGAGGATTGAATGAAGGAAGAAGGTGCTAGAAGCTGATATGGCTTTGGGTAGAGGATGTGGAAGTAAGGCGTGGAGTGGGGCCTCAGATGGAGGGCAAGCGTGGGTGTGTGTGTGTGTGCGTGTGTGTGCGTGCGTGTGTGTGTGCGCGCGCGTGTGTGTGTGTGTGTGTGTGTGTGTGTGCGTGCGTGTGCCTGTGTGTGTGTGTGTGCGTGCGTGTGCCTGTGTGTGTGCGCGTGTGTGTGTGTGCGTGTGTGTGCGTGTGGTGTGTGTGGGGTGTGTATGCGTGTGTGTCCGTGTGTGGTGGGGTG